AGCGACAAGTGTGAAGCCATTCATTCACCCTCATTGCAAGCGACAAGTGTGAAGCCATTCATTCACCCTCATTGCAAGCGACAAGTGTGAAGCCATTCATTCACCCTCATTGCAAGCGACAAGTGTGAAGCCATTCATTCACCCTCATTGCAAGCGACAAGTGTGAAGCCATTCATTCACCCTCATTGCAAGCGACAAGTGTGAAGCCATTCATTCACCCTCATTGCAAGCGACAAGTGTGAAGCCATTCATTCACCCTCATTGCAAGCGACAAGTGTGAAGCCATTCATTCACCCTCATTGCAAGCGACAAGTGTGAAGCCATTCATTCACCCTCATTGCAAGCGACAAGTGTGAAGCCATTCATTCACCCTCATTGCAAGCGACAAGTGTGAAGCCATTCATTCACCCTCATTGCAAGCGACAAGTGTGAAGCCATTCATTCACCCTCATTGCAAGCGACAAGTGTGAAGCCATTCATTCACCCTCATTGCAAGCGACAAGTGTGAAGCCATTCATTCACCCTCATTGCAAGCGACAAGTGTGAAGCCATTCATTCACCCTCATTGCAAGCGACAAGTGTGAAGCCATTCATTCACCCTCATTGCAAGCGACAAGTGTGAAGCCATTCATTCACCCTCATTGCAAGCGACAAGTGTGAAGCCATTCATTCACCCTCATTGCAAGCGACAAGTGTGAAGCCATTCATTCACCCTCATTGCAAGCGACAAGTGTGAAGCCATTCATTCACCCTCATTGCAAGCGACAAGTGTGAAGCCATTCATTCACCCTCATTGCAAGCGACAAGTGTGAAGCCATTCATTCACCCTCATTGCAAGCGACAAGTGTGAAGCCATTCATTCACCCTCATTGCAAGCGACAAGTGTGAAGCCATTCATTCACCCTCATTGCAAGCGACAAGTGTGAAGCCATTCATTCACCCTCATTGCAAGCGACAAGTGTGAAGCCATTCATTCACCCTCATTGCAAGCGACAAGTGTGAAGCCATTCATTCACCCTCATTGCAAGCGACAAGTGTGAAGCCATTCATTCACCCTCATTGCAAGCGACAAGTGTGAAGCCATTCATTCACCCTCATTGCAAGCGACAAGTGTGAAGCCATTCATTCACCCTCATTGCAAGCGACAAGTGTGAAGCCATTCATTCACCCTCATTGCAAGCGACAAGTGTGAAGCCATTCATTCACCCTCATTGCAAGCGACAAGTGTGAAGCCATTCATTCACCCTCATTGCAAGCGACAAGTGTGAAGCCATTCATTCACCCTCATTGCAAGCGACAAGTGTGAAGCCATTCATTCACCCTCATTGCAAGCGACAAGTGTGAAGCCATTCATTCACCCTCATTGCAAGCGACAAGTGTGAAGCCATTCATTCACCCTCATTGCAAGCGACAAGTGTGAAGCCATTCATTCACCCTCATTGCAAGCGACAAGTGTGAAGCCATTCATTCACCCTCATTGCAAGCGACAAGTGTGAAGCCATTCATTCACCCTCATTGCAAGCGACAAGTGTGAAGCCATTCATTCACCCTCATTGCAAGCGACAAGTGTGAAGCCTCCCAGTTGCAGTGAACTCCAAGCAGAGAGGGTGGCAGGGCTTGTCAATGCAGGGAATGTGGGCTGCGGAGGCTGCGGAGGCCTTGTTACTTCCATCAGCTTGAAGCCATTCATTCACCCTCATTGCAAGCGCAAAGTGTGAAGTAAGGCCTCCGCAGAGGCCTCCCTCAACTCCGCAAAGTGTGAAGCCTCCATCTTTCTTTTGATTTGACTCATTACAAGCTAAAAGTGTGAAGCCTCCATCTTTCTTTTGATTTGACTCATTACAAGCTAAAAGTGTGAAGCCTCCATCTTTCTTTTGATTTGACTCATTACAAGCTAAAAGTGTGAAGCCTCCATCTTTCTTTTGATTTGACTCATTACAAGCTAAAAGTGTGAAGCCTCCATCTTTCTTTTGATTTGACTCATTACAAGCTAAAAGTGTGAAGCCTCCATCTTTTTTTGATTTGACTCATTACAAGCTAAAAGTGTGAAGCCTCCATCTTTCTTTTGATTTGACTCATTACAAGCTAAAAGTGTGAAGCCTCCATCTTCCTTTTGATTTGACTCATTACAAGCTAAAAGTGTGAAGCCTCCCTCATTCACCCAGTTGCTGTGGACCCCAAGCAGATGGAAATCACTTTTGAGGATTCTAAAAAAAGGGTGGCAGGCCGCATTTCGAATCCCTCATCCCACATGCGAAGCCAAAAGTAGCCATTCGTTCCCACTCACTTCAAGAAACAAGTGTGAAGCCTCCCTGGTGCCTTGAGCTCCGAGCAGAGACGGTGGCAGGCCGCACCCTGAGTCTCGGCACGACAGCACCAGCAATGTGAGAGCTAACAACAACCCACCGTGACACGAGAGCTGACAACAACTTACCGCAAGCGAGAAGTGCGAAGCCTCTCTGGTGCCTTGAGCTCCGAGCAGAGACGGTGGCAGGCCGCACCCTGAATCCCGGCACGACAGCACCAGCACACCCAACCACTGCCCATTCTCCCACTCAGGATTCCTGGCATTCCCCCTCCCCTCCCTCGATCCACGTAGTGTGTTGCTCGCTGCACTTGCTGCTGCTGCTGCTGCTGCTGCTGCTGCAGCTGCTGCTGGAAGTGCCCGTGTTGTGGTGACATGTTTCAGCCAGCGAAAGGTAGAGAGAATCCAGGCAGTCGCCGAGCTGGTGAGAGCAGGCGTGGGTGCGTGAGGGGTGGCGGTGGAGAGACCTGGAGGAGAGGAGCAAGGCGGGTGCGAAGGGTGGGGGGGAGAGGGCGTGGGGAACGCACGGGAATGAGGAAGACCAGGCAGCATCCAGCTGGTGAGAGTGGAAGTGGGTGCCTGAGGGGTGGCGGTGAAAAGGCCTGGATGGAGGAGCAAGGCGGGTGCGAAGGGTGGGGGGGGAAGAGGGAATGAGTAACGGCGTAACAGAGTGAGCGAAGTTTATTCATGTAACAAGCTCCCAAATGTGAATGTAAATGCTCACGCAGTTGCTTACCCTGGCAATGAAGGGCGTCTTGCAAACTTGTCCCTAGTGGCACCAGCGACACCCGAACTGTCACATGGCCTTGATCCGTGAACTTCACTGCGTTGTCTGAAAGGAAACCAAGGTGGTGTGGTGGTGTGCAGTAAAGTTGAGCACTAGAGCACGAACATGTAAAATTGAGCAACGACACCTAGCACCAGCGACACCCGGACTGTCACACGGCCTTGCTCTTTAAATTTCACTGCGTTATCTGAAAGGAAACCAAGGTGGTGGTGTGTGGTGAAATCATACATCATGTGAAATTGAGCACAAGAGCACGAACACACAACCACAGCTAGTGTCGATTGAGGAATGCAAGTTGGCCCTCAATCGATGGATAGGCAGTCAGCGCATGAGCAGTGGGATGGAAAGGCCCAACTCAGACTGGCCATTTTGATGGCGTGCCGTGCCGGGTTGGCTTCAACTCCGCTCCGCCACCATTGATGCTACATACAGAGGGCCCCACGTAACCTACTGTGCACATGGTACTCCTTCCCTCAATCCCATAGCCTAATAGGTGTTGTAGCTCTCATGATATCCTAGTGTTGCCAATGTTGAATCGCTGTTGCGCTATCGCTATGAGAAAATCAACAGGCATGTTGTACAGCATGTTGTGCAGCATGTTGTGCAGCATGTTGTACAGCATGTTGTGCAGCATGTTGTGCAGCATGTTGTACAGCATGCTGTGCAGCATGTTGTGCAGCATGTTGTACAGCATGTTGTGCAGCATGTTGAGCAGCATGTTGTGCAGCATGTTGTGCAGCATGTTGTGCAGCATGTTGTGCAGCATGTTGTGCAGCATGTTGTGCAGCATGTTGTGCAGCATGTTGTGCAGCATGTTGTGCAGCATGTTGTGCAGCATGTTGTGCAGCATGTTGTGCAGCATGTTGTACAGCATGTTGTGCAGCATGTTGTGCAGCATGTTGTGCAGCATGTTGTGCAGCATGTTGTGCAGCATGTTGTGCAGCATGTTGTGCAGCATGTTGTGCAGCATGTTGTACAGCATGTTGTGCAGCATGTTGTGCAGCATGTTGTGCAGCATGTTGTGCAGCATGTTGTGCAGCATGTTGTACAGCATGTTGTGCAACATGTTGTGCAGCATGTTGTGCAGCATGTTGTGCAGCATGTTGTGCAGCATGTTGTGCAGCATGTTGTGCAGCATGTTGTGCAGCATGTTGTGCTCTCTCATGATCATAGTGTTGCCAATGTTGAATCGCTGCTGTGCCATTGCTATGAGAGCATCAACAAGCTGAGAATGACCACCGTCCTTGTCATATTTGATGCTCGTGCCAAAAACGCGTAGCTCGTCAATCCCAACATGGTCCAGCTCAGGTCTTGAGTCGGTTCGACATGGACCAGTTCGGATTCAGTTTGACCATTTGACCAGTTCGACCATTTGACCAGTTCGAGGCAATTCGAGCCGAACTGGTTCGGATTCGACACGTGCTCATGCCTTTCACCACGTACCTGTGATTTCTTTCAGAACTTTAGAGAGGTGCATCGAGTCGGCGATAATGTAAGTGGGAACGTCGTCGTCAACACTGTCGCAAACTGAAGCGGAAGGAGATACGAGTGGGGTAAAGGAAGCAGAAAGTATGTGTGGGGTAAGCATCAAGGAAGATAATATTTCAAGTATTTACTTCGAGGGAAAATGCTCAACAATCTACAAGCATCACAAGGAGAACAAGTATATGATACATCACGTCTTGAGATGTAACTAGATCTAGGCATATCAAAACCCCATCTCTTGATGAACTCTTTTGTGCACTCACACTCCATGCCTTTGGAGCGTGCCATCTCCGCTTGTTGCTTCTACCCTCTGACCAGATGCTGTGCACCCCCCACAACGGGCCACTCACACTCGATTCCTTTGGAGCGTGCCATCTCCGCTTGTCGGTCCAAGGCAGCATGCAGCCACTGGCATGGCACACATCAATCACCGGCAACCAAAGCTTGCGTTTGGAAAGAAATCTCAAAGAGCCACTCACACTCGATTCCTTTGGAGCGTGCTGCCTCCACGTGCCGGTCCAAGGCGGCATGCAGCCACTCCCTCACGTCAACCACCATCTCATCCCCCACCGCCCTGCCTGCCTCTCACCAGACGCTGTGCACCTCTCTCACCAGACGCTGTGCACCCCCCACAATGAGGCACTCACACTTCATCCCTTTGGAGAGTGCTGCCTCCGCGTGCCGGTCCAAGGCGGCATGCAGCCACTGGCGCACATCAGTCACCGCCTCATCCACCACCGCCTTTCCCGCCTCCAGCCTCGCCACATGCGCTGCACCCCCCTTCATCAAACCAGCGACTCACATTCAATCCCTTTCGAGCGTGCCTCCTCTGCGTGCCTGTGCAACGCGCCATGCAGCCACTGGCGCACATCGGTCACCGCCTCATCCACCACCGCCCTTCCTGCCTCCAGCTTCGCCAGATCCAACACGCGGTTGACCAGATGCAGCGTATCCGTCGCACACCCCCGCGCGATGAGCAGGTCTGATAGGTCAGGGGGTTGGAGCGCCATGTCTGCCAAAGCATCGAGCATGCCTGGTGGGGGAGTGGGGGAGAGGGAGGGGTGCATGAAGGACGGTGCGTAGCATCTGCCAAAGCAACGAGCATGCCTAGTGGGAGAGAGGGATGATGGAAGAAGGGAGCATGGTGCCAAGAGAACGTGGTATGGACAAGTTGGGTCTGATAGGTCAAGGGGTTGGAGAGTCATGTCCGCTAGAGCATGGAGCATGCCTGTTGGGAGAGAGAGGTGTAGGAAAAAAGTGTATCATATCACGACGAAGGGTTAGCAATCGCGAAGGGTTATGTCCTGAGCTCATAAGACAAGCAAGCCCTCGTCAGCTGCGGTGTAACCAATGAGACATGCAAGCCACGAACGTGCTCTTTGACGCCTCTGCTCCCTCCAAATCTCCTTCACGCGCCTAAAAGGCCAGACCCGGTAATTCGTGAACACCGTACGTACCGATGATCCCAGTCATCGGTGTCCTCAGCTCGTGAGACATGCACGCCACGAACATGCTCTTTGACGCCTCAGCGTCCTCTGCTTCCTTCCTCAGCCTGTCTGCCTCTGCCATGTGCTGCTGCGTCTGGAAGAACTGCGCTCGCTGGATCCATGCCGCCAGCAGCACGAGCAGCACGAGGAGGAGGGCGAAGAGGGCGATGAGGATGGGGATGCCCCACGATTGCCACGCGTTGGGAGGCTGCGTGTACCTGGATGGGGGGGGGGATAACAGGAAGGTCGTTTGTGTACAATATTCACAAGGCAGGGGCACAGGCGGAGGGTGAAGAGGGCGATGAGGATGGGGATGCCCCACGATTGTCACGTGCTGGGAGGCCGCGTGCCTGGATGGGGGAATAACAGGTTATATATATATACAATACATATATACATAATTTACTATGTATGTATATAGTAAAAGGGAGATGAGGATTAGGATGCCAAAGAAATACAATATGCGGGGGGGCTGTGTGTACCTGGGTGGGAGAACAGTAGCAAGGTTGTATAGATCTACTATGCAAGTGCATAGGTAAATAATGCAAGGATAATTAGATCTAAAGGGTCTAATAATGCCTGCGTGTTAGCACTATCACTAACGTGCAAGAGTGAAGGAGCAAAAAGAAAACAGGAAGGAGCGGCCAGAAAGCTCATCTACACCAACCCTCATAGCATACTTACGCACGCCTGCTCCCAGCTCATCCAAATGCTTTAGAGTCAACCCAACCATCATATTGAGCTTATTGAGCGAAATCAGATTGAGCTTACTAAAAAAATGACTCACATGCACCAACCATCATATGTGCACACGCCAGCTCCCAGCTTATCCAAATGCTTTTGAGTCAACCCAAAAGGGTTCAGATTGAGCCCGCTTAAAATTACTCACCTACACCAACCTTCATACTTGCGCTCGACTGCTCCCAGCTTATCCAAATGCTTTTGACTCAATTCAAAAGGGTTCAGATTAAGCTTACTTAAAAAATTGGCTCACCTGCACCAACCCTCATACTTGCGCACGCCTGCTCACAGCTCTTCTAAATGCTTTTGAGTCAATCCAACTTAAAAAGGAATTCAGATCGAGCCTACTTAGAAAATGACTCACCTGCACCAACCCTCATACTTGCGTACGCCTGCTCCCAGCTCTTCTAGAGGCACTACAGCCGGTCCCTCCCAGGGGCGAGTTTCGGACAGTGGAGAGGGAAGCATGTTGGGGCGAGGGTCGTTGGGTCGGAAGTAGACGTGCGGTGGGACTGGAGAGACGATGGCGAAGAGAGACGATGGGTCTGTAACATCGTACATCTCAAACGATTTTGACGAGTCTAGATGGAAGGGAAGGGAAGAGGGCGGGGGAAAGGAGAAGGGGGAGAGTGGAAGGAGAAGACATTTGAGTCGACTCAAGAGTGGAAGGAGAAGACATTTGAGTCGACTCAAGAGTGGAAGGAGAAGACATTTGAGTCGACTCAAGAGTGGAAGGAGAAGACATTTGAGTCGACTCAAGAGTGGAAGGAGAAGACATTTGAGTCGACTCAAGAGTGGAAGGAGAAGACATTTGAGTCGACTCAAGAGTGGAAGGAGAAGACATTTGAGTCGACTCAAGAGTGGAAGGAGAAGACATTTGAGTCGACTCAAGAGTGGAAGGAGAAGACATTTGAGTCGACTCAAGAGTGGAAGGAGAAGACATTTGAGTCGACTCAAGAGTGGAAGGAGAAGACATTTGAGTCGACTCAAGAGTGGAAGGAGAAGACATTTGAGTCGACTCAAGAGTGGAAGGAGAAGACATTTGAGTCGACTCAAGAGTGGAAGGAGAAGACATTTGAGTCGACTCAAGAGTGGAAGGAGAAGACATTTGAGTCGACTCAAGAGTGGAAGGAGAAGACAGAGGCTACAGATCAATTTCAAATCCAATCAATTACTCTTAGCAGGCTTGCTGCGTTTCGAATCCAATCAATTTCAACTGCGAAGGAGAAGACAGAGGCTTACAATGACCCTGTATTGTAGATCACATAGCACAGGATTAGGAGCCCAAGGTCGTTCGTACATGACGTGCGAGCATGTGCTTGAGTCGACTCAAAAGTCACCTTGTTTTGAGTCGACTCAAAAGTCACCTTGTTTTGAGTCGACTCAAAAGTCACCTTGTTTTGAGTCGACTCAAAAGTCACCTTGTTTTGAGTCGACTCAAAAGTCACCTTGTTTTGAGTCGACTCAAAAGTCACCTTGTTTTGAGTCGACTCAAAAGTCACCTTGTTTTGAGTCGACTCAAAAGTCACCTTGTTTTGAGTCGACTCAAAAGTCACCTTGTTTTGAGTCGACTCAAGAGGAGGATCCAAAGGCTATGAATCACGTATGAGGAAGGTGAAAAGTATGGACCCGTGCACTCTATCCTCTAAGGGAGAAGACGGGCCCATAACATTGTACATATCGACCAACTTTGATGGGTGTAGATGGAGTGGAATGGTGGAGGGGAGGGTTTTGGAAGGAACGTGGGTTTTCATACAGGTGCATACAGCCCCCTTAAAGCCAGGGTCTCAAGTAAGCAAAGCAGCCGTCCACTGCAAAGCAGTTCGAGCTAGGTTACCTAGTTAGTGCAGGCAAATTTCTCTTTGGTTGGGTTGGAAACCTACCACCGTGGCCTCAAAAGCAATTGCACAACAAGGATTGAGTACGTGAGATTTTCGACAATTCTGGGGCATTTTAGGTTTGGATCCGAACCATATTTACAAACTTAGAAGGTTCGACTACACCTAGCGATTTGGATTCGTTTCGTACTCCTCGCTTCACCCCTCTTCAAACTTCACAACTCGCCAACCAATCACAAACAAAATTGCAGTCAACTGCAAAACACTTGTAGTACGTGAAACCCTGGCTTTAACTCACAGCCCTACCCTAAACCCTAACCCCAGGTGCATGCAGCCCTTAACTCACCAGGTGCATACAGTCTTAACTCACCAGGTGCATACAGTCTTAACTCACCAGGTGCATACAGTCTTAACTCATCAGGTGCATACAGTCTTAACTCACCAGGTGCATACAGTCTTAACTCACCAGGTGCATACAGTCTTAACTCACCAGGTGCATACAGTCTTAACTCATCAGGTGCATACAGTCTTAACTCACCAGGTGCATACAGTATTAACTCACCAGGTGCATACAGTCTTAACTCATCAGGTGCATACAGTCTTAACTCATCAGGTGCATACAGTCTTAACTCACCAGGTGCATACAGTATTAACTCATCAGGTGCATACAGTCTTAACTCACCAGGTGCATACAGTCTTAACTCACCAGGTGCATACAGTCTTAACTCACCAGGTGCATACAGTCTTAACTCACCAGGTGCATACAGTCTTAACTCACCAGGTGCATACAGTATTAACTCACCAGGTGCATACAGTCTTAACTCATCAGGTGCATACAGTCTTAACTCACCAGGTGCATACAGTATTAACTCACCAAGTGCATACAGTCTTAACTCACCAGGTGCATACAGTCTTAACTCACCAGGTGCATACAGTATTAACTCACCAGGTGCATACAGTCTTAACTCATCAGGTGCATACAGTCTTAACTCACCAGGTGCATACAGTATTAACTCACCAGGTGCATACAGTCTTAACTCATCAGGTGCATACAGTCTTAACTCACCAGGTGCATACAGTCTTAACTCACCAGGTGCATACAGTCTTAACTCATCAGGTGCATACAGTCTTAACTCACCAGGTGCATACAGTCTTAACTCACCAGGTGCATACAGTCTTAACTCATCAGGTGCATACAGTCTTAACTCACCAGGTGCATACAGTATTAACTCACCAGGTGCATACAGTCTTAACTCACCAGGTGCATACAGTATTAACTCACCAGGTGCATACAGTCTTAACTCATCAGGTGCATACAGTCTTAACTCACCAGGTGCATACAGTATTAACTCACCAAGTGCATACAGTCTTAACTCACCAGGTGCATACAGTCTTAACTCACCAGGTGCATACAGTCTTAACTCACCAGGTGCATACAGTCTTAACTCACCAGGTGCATACAGTCTTAACTCATCAGGTGCATACAGTCTTAACTCACCAGGTGCATACAGTATTAACTCACCAGGTGCATACAGTCTTAACTCATCAGGTGCATACAGTCTTAACTCATCAGGTGCATACAGTCTTAACTCACCAGGTGCATACAGTCTTAACTCACCAGGTGCATACAGTCTTAACTCACCAGGTGCATACAGTCTTAACTCACCAGGTGCATACAGTCTTAACTCATCAGGTGCATACAGTCTTAACTCACCAGGTGCATACAGTATTAACTCAACAGGTGCATACAGTCTTAACTCATCAGGTGCATACAGTCTTAACTCACCAGGTGCATACAGTCTTAACTCACCAGGTGCATACAGTCTTAACTCACCAGGTGCATACAGTCTTAACTCACCAGGTGCATACAGTCTTAACTCACCAGGTGCATACAGTCTTAACTCATCAGGTGCATACAGTCTTAACTCACCAGGTGCATACAGTCTTAACTCACCAGGTGCATACAGTCTTAACTCACCAGGTGCATACAGTCTTAACTCACCAGGTGCATACAGTCTTAACTCACCAGGTGCATACAGTATTAACTCACCAGGTGCATACAGTCTTAACTCACCAGGTGCATACAGTCGTAACTCACCAGGTGCATACAGTCTTAACTCACCAGGTGCATACAGCTCCTCTAGAACCTTCTGTGCGATGGAAGTCACGTCAACAGTTGTAGCAAGCGTGCCATACACTGTCGATGCAGCTGCCGTGCTTGCATTGGTCGGAGAGACAGTGCGCCGAAGAGGAAAACCCAAGCCTGCAGTGCCAGAGGCGACAATGTGAGGGTTAAACAATATGAGGGTTAAACAATATGAGGGTTAAACAGTGTGAGGGCACAACGATAAGGCACTGCAGTGCACTGAATCTTCAAGTGCCGTGCCCTTAACCTGTCCTGCCCCGTTTGCTTTTACCTGGCCGAACAAGCGTTTTATGAATCCGCCCAGACCAACCGGAGGTGAGGAATTCAAATCGCAAGTGCGTCGTATGCCACTTAGCTCTCGGCACTGACCATTAGGAACAACAACCCACTCACCCGACCTGTCTTATCTTCGATTCAAAATGGAAAAAAAAAAAAAAAAAAAAAAAAAAAAAAAAAAACTCAAAATGGGACTCACCGAATCCCGCATGGTCGGTAGGAGTACTCATGGGATACGGCCAGGTGTAGAGCGATTTTCCCGCCACAGCAAGTGGAATCTCCGTGGAAAAGCGCTTCATTAGATCAATGTGCCATGAGCCATTCGATACCACGACTGTGGAGAAATCGAGGATCTTGGGGCAGTAGATGGGGCGGTGGGCACTGACGTTCTTGTTGTTATCTTTTATGGTACCGTGTTGTCGCTCAAATGAAGCCCTGAAGCAGTGATGTTTGTGGGGTGAATCGGGGGGAACAAGGAAAGAGGAGACCGGAAAGAGGGAGGAAACTCGCTTCATGAGGTTGATGTGCCATGAGGATCATGGGAGAAATTGATACCACGACTGTGGAGAAGTAGAGGATCATGGGGCAGTAGATGGGGCGGTGGGCGCTGACGCTCTTGTTGCTGTCCTTTCCCGTGTTGTCGCTCGAAAGTGGTCCTGTAGCAATGTGTGTGTGGAGAATTAGGAGGAAAGAGGAAAGAGGTGAATGGGTCACCAGGTATCACAACACTCGAGCATTTGGGTTGACTCATCGTCATCCTGCCATGTTAAGACAGGGTTTACCACATCACAACACTCATCCTCACTCTAAACATACATGCGCACTTCCCCTCTTTCCTCTTTCCCTCATTCTACCCCCATCTCTCCTCGTTCATAAGAAACACACGTGAGAGAGCTTCTGCGTCTCCCCCCCCCACCTCCAGCCCTGCAACCCCCTCCCTCCCCTGCAACCCCCTCCCTCTCTCACCTCTCCTCGTCCCTGACAAAGACACAAGTAGTCGCCGCTGTGTTGCTCAGGAAATGCATGTTGAACTGCATTCTGCCCCTCCACCCCCTCCGTCTCTCACCTCTCCTCATCCGTGACAAAGACGCATGAAGACGCCCCCGTGTTTTGAGGCGCCTCAAGAGTTGCTTTGACCTCGCAACTATCTCACCTCTCCTCATCCGTGACAAAGACGCATGAAGACGCCCCCGTGTTTTGAGGCGCCTCAAGAGTTGCTTTGACCTCGCAACTATCTCACCTCTCCTCATCCGTGACAAAGACGCATGAAGACGCCCCCGTGTTTTGAGGCGCCTCAAGAGTTGCTTTGACCTCGCAACTATCTCACCTCTCTCCTCATCCGTGACAAAGACGCATGAAGACGCCCCCGTGTTTTGAGGCGCCTCAAGAGTTGCTTTGACCTCGCAACTATCTCACCTCTCCTCATCCGTGACAAAGACGCACGAAGACGCCCCCGTGTTCCCGGGGCGAGCATAGGCGGTGCGCGTGAGGTATGCTTCCCACGAGCTGCCGTTCAAACACACACCCTCTTCCTCCCACCGCATTCCCCCCTCCCCTCCCTCTCTCACCTCTCCTCATCCGTGACAAAGACGCATGAAGACGCCCCCGTGTTCCCGGGGCGAGCATAGGCGGTGCGCGTGAGGTATGCTTCCCACGAGCTGCCGTTCAAACACACACCCTCTTCCTCCCACCGCATTCCCCCCTCCCCTCCCTCTCTCACCTCTCCTCATCCGTGACAAAGACGCATGAAGACGCCCCCGTGTTCCCGGGGCGAGCATAGGCGGTGCGCGTGAGGTATGCTTCCCACGAGCTGCCGTTCAAACACACACCCTCTTCCTCCCACCGCATTCCCCCCTCCCCTCCCTCTCTCACCTCTCCTCATCCGTGACAAAGACGCATGAAGACGCCCCCGTGTTCCCGGGGCGAGCATAGGCGGTGCGCGTGAGGTATGCTTCCCACGAGCTGCCGTTCAAACACACACCCTCTTCCTCCCACCGCATTCCCCCCTCCCCTCCCTCTCTCACCTCTCCTCATCCGTGACAAAGACGCATGAAGACGCCCCCGTGTTCCCGGGGCGAGCATAGGCGGTGCGCGTGAGGTATGCTTCCCACGAGCTGCCGTTCAAACACACACCCTCTTCCTCCCACCGCATTCCCCCCTCCCCTCCCTCTCTCACCTCTCCTCATCCGTGACAAAGACGCATGAAGACGCCCCCGTGTTCCCGGGGCGAGCATAGGCGGTGCGCGTGAGGTATGCTTCCCACGAGCTGCCGTTCAAACACACACCCTCTTCCTCCCACCGCATTCCCCCCTCCCCTCCCTCTCTCACCTCTCCTCATCCGTGACAAAGACGCATGAAGACGCCCCCGTGTTCCCGGGGCGAGCATAGGCGGTGCGCGTGAGGTATGCTTCCCACGAGCTGCCGTTCAAACACCTGTCCAGCTCCCACTTGCCTCTCTGCCCCAGCCTGCCCATCACTGAGATGATGCCTGTGAGTGTCTGTGCTGGGATGGGAGGATACAGGGCAGGGCACCGCGGCAACGATGACGGCGACGACAACAAGAAGAGCACCAAGAAGACAACAAACAGGATGAGAACCAGGACGAGAATAATAAGAACGACAAGGACAAGGACAGTAACAGGCACAGGAACAGGAACAGCAAGAGAAACAGAACAGAAACAGGAATAGGAACAAGAACAGCGAGAACAGCAAACAACGACGCTGATGACGACGCACGACGACCCGACAGCAACAGCAGCAGCAGCAGCAGCAGCAGCAGCAGCAGCAGCAGCAGCAGCAGCAGCAGCAGCAGCAGCAGCAGCAGCAGCAGCAGCAGTAACAACAACAGGAAATACAACAATATTACAGAAGTGGTTAGGACACTGACGATGAAAATGAAGTGCTCCATTAAACACCCCTGACACCAATCCAACCTTCGTACCTCTGACACTAATCCAGTCTTACCTGCGTCTGCCTGACAACATGAGTGGGCACGAGCTGCTGCAGAATGAGGGCATGAGGGCAGGAGAGCAGAGAGCAGAGAGCAGAGAGCAAAGAGCAGAGAGCAGAGAGCAGCACCCATGCAGCAGGAGGTAAGGTAATGCAGACACCACTCCAGCCTTACATGGATTGGACACCACTCCGGCCTTACATGGATTGGACACCACTCCGGCCTTACCTGCATGTGCCCCACATGGGTGAGCACGAGCTGCTGCAGCATGAAGGCATGACAGCACGAGGGCGCGAGGGCAGCACCCATGCTGCAGGAGGCAAGGACGCTAACACCAATTCAACAGCCTTACCTGCATCTGCCCCACATGGGTGAGCACGAGCTGCTGCAGCATGAGGGCGCGCTCCTTGCACCACACGCCCAGCGCCTCCTCCCTGTGATCCTCATACTGCGAGTGCTTCCAGTAGAGCAGCCATGCTGCCACGGCCAGCCCACACAGCACCCATGCTGCCACGAGCACTGTGAACCAAGGGGCTGGGAGGGGGTTGAGACAGAGGAGAGAGAGGAGAGGGGGTAAGCTAGGAGGGTAGTCCTCGTACTGCGAGTGCTTCCAGTAGAGCACCCATGCTGCCACGCCCAGCCCACACAGCACCCACGCCGCCACCAGCACTGTGAACCAGGGCGCTGGGCGGGGTGAGTGGGGCGAGATCTACTGGGGAAAGCGAGAGCGGGAAGAGCGAGAGAGAAAACTGGTTAAGCTTAGTAGGGCAATCCTCATACTGCGAGTGGTTGGAGTAGAACAGCCATGCTGCCACGCCCAGCCCACACAGCACCCACGCCGCTACCAGCATCGTGAACCAGGGCGCTGGTTGAGCGAGGGGCAAGAGAGGGGAGCGCGAGGCGGGAGAGAAGGGAATGAGAAGGGAATGAGAAGGGGATGAGAAGGGGATGAGAAGGGAATGCGAAAGGAATGTGAAGGGAATGAGAATGGAAGGGAATGAGAAGGGAATGAGAAGGAAATGAGAAGGATGAGAAGGGAATGAGAAGGGAATGAGAAGGAAATGAGAAGGAAATGAGAAGGGAATGAGAAGGGAATGAGAAGGGGATGATAAGGGAATGAGAAGGGGATGAGAAGGGGATGAGAAGGGGATGAGAGGGGAATGAGAATGAATGAGAAAGGAATGAGAAGGGAATGAGAAGGGAATGAGAAGGGGATGAGAAGAGAATGAGAAGGGGATGAGCAGGGGATGAGAAGGGAATAAAAAGGGAATGAAAACGGGATGAGAAGGGAATGAAAAGGGGATGAGAAGGGAATGAGCAGGGAATGAGAAGGGAATGAGAAAGGGATGAGAAGGGAATGAGAAGGGGATGAGAAGGGGATGAGAAGGGAATGAGAAGGGATGAGAAGGGAATGAGAAGGGATGAGAAGGGAATGAGGGAATGAGAGGGAGAGCCGATCAGAAAGACAGCGGCACCAACAACACACATCCAGGGCCTTCATGCCAGATTAGCTTATAAAACTTCGTGCCCTTCTTCTCCTTCTTCGGCTTTCCATGGCCTCGCCACTCAAACTGTTCGATTCTTTACGAAATTGACACATGGGGAGCACCCCACGAGATGATAGCCCGGCGAGATGAGGTCCCGGCGAGAGCCACGGGGGTTTGTTCTTAAACATTCTTCGAAACTGATCTTGCCGCTCGCACCGAGAGCGCCGCGCTCTGCCGCCTTAGCGCATCGATGTTTGTCAACCATCTGTCGTCCCTTCGCGCTTGGGTATACTAAAGCACGGGAACCACCCATTCGTTTCAGTCACTCTCACCCTGGAATAGCACTCCTGCAGAGAAAATTAGTGGACCTCCCGATGCAGTATCATCCCGTTTCTCTCTCTCATCGTTGACGGCAGTCGCGTCGCCTCTACCAGCTCCGTCCCCCATGACGGTCGTTTATTTCTAGCAGACTCTCTCGTAGTAGGCGTTTCTTTTGCCGATTCTACTAGAAGGCGGCTCGTGATGCTGCAGCTCGCCGGGGTTCTAGCACTGCTAGTACCGGCGACGTTGTGACAGCAGTGAGCCGAGCCAAGACTTTTCTCTAATGAATGTCACGATCAAATTAGATCAGGGGTAACGTGATCCGATTCTAAAAACGTGTGACACATATGTAATGCTACAATGGTGTACAAACTACTGCTAATCCAAAATAACTGTCTTATTCACCGAGAGCACTTAGAAGTCTAGGAGTAATGTGGAACAAGGAAGACATGTTTTAATAACACAGTTCAGGCCGTGCTGGTAACCCTGCCAGTGGAAGCCACTTCGTTTTGGCTTTGGAGAGTTGCACACAATCAAGGAAAGGCCTCGGGATGACCTGGTGCACCGGGAAGCTTCCACCATTGAAAGGCGATTTGTACCACGAATCACCACGGCTTTGGTGCACGGACTCCCACGCGCCGGCACGCACTAGCACGCCCCCACAACCGTGATTCTTGGTGCAACGTGTTTCAGAGAGGAGAAAGCTTCGAAACCTGGTGAACCGGGGGCGTGCCGAGGCGTTGAGCACCATAGCGGGTAGGTTGTAAGGGCGTGCGTGGTATATTCAAGGTACAGATATTACGTCAAACTTTGGATGTTTACCGGTTTCGTTAATATCGTGAACAAGGACTTGTGATGGAATCCAATATCTGTACACACAACAATTTCGAGTTAGAAATATGAACTTGACTCGACACAGAACGTGAACGTGCGTGCGCACGTTGAATCGAATATTCGTTCTTTTGAGTATGCACGAAGAATGGGCGAACTCAGCGAGAAAACTGACAACCGGAAACACAGATAAAAAGTAACGACCATACCGAGTAACCTACAATCGCTGCGGGTGGCCCGGAGCGATCCCTACAAGCTCGAAAAACCAAATTCGAACTGGTTGTGTGACTCACTCATTGGAAAATCACGTGCGATTTTCGCTAATCACGGAGGTCGCCTACAGTTCTAATGCTACATTCGAATAAAATATGTTAACTTTTACCATTTTCAAATATCATGCACGCTCTTATGAAAGCGACCTTTATATATAAATTGTTGGGCTGAGAAAGCCCTTAGGATCGTTTCAAAGCTGAGACTCGGGGTAATGATGTAATTGCAGAAGCGTTGTAGTGAACTGCTTGAACAACCTTGCACCAATGTGTGAGAGCAAGATGAATCGATAATGGCAAGGAGATACAAGCTTTATATGATTAAAAGGAATACGGAATGTTTTAACTAACTGTAACTGCTTAACGACTTCGGCGAGTCAAGGATCGCTGACCTTTGACCTTCGCTCAGCCTCCTGCTGCTATATTTTGTAAACCTCTTCGGTTGATTCGCTGTTGCTTCGTTGTAGTTCGCCTCGCTTACGACTCAGTGTTTTGACACATCAGAAGCGCAAACTACATGTTTCTAACATATATGAAACATAGGTTCTAGAATCTATGTGAAATTAGAAACGAGGAATATTGGAATTGGCAAGTAGGTGGCTAAAAGTAGGAAAACCTGGAAGAGTTGTACCCTATATCGTCTACCCCACTACAGCATACACAGACTATGTCATATAAGTTTGACACACACCCATAGGCAAATTGGGGGAGAACAAGAGGTCGCAAGACCAGCCAAGAAAGGCACAGCAAGCTCAGGGTGGATCACGACGTCACCACGCATTCTGAGCACAAGCAAATGGCCACAATGCCAATTCACATGCAGAGTTATATAAAGGAGAACAAACAATACAGTGATCACAACCTAGCAAGTGTAAGCATGCAGGTATACGTATAGAGATCACAGTACAAGCACACTCAAGAAGTAAGCAAGTGAAGCCCGGTGGGTACAAAGCCTAGAACAACATAGAAACGCTGATGATCACAAGGCTGAAGTGCCTTGGTGAAGACATCAGCAGTGTTGGCCCGAGTGGCCACGTAAGTAAGACGAAGCTGACCACGCTGCTGCAACTCTCGAGCAAGGAAATAGTGCAGAGCGATGTGCTTCGTCCTGTGCTCCATTCTGTGCTCCTGACACAAGGCAATCATGGCCTTGTTGTCGACGTACAACACTGGAGGAGAACGAGGTGGTTCTCCCAGGTCGGTCAGCAGGTAGGTGAGCCAGCGTAACTCCTGTGCAACCATGGCCCCTGCGTAGATCTCAGCCTCGCAGCTGGAGCTGAGAACAGAAGACGAGCGGGTAGACCGCCAAGAAACAGAAGCGGAGCCAAGGCAGAAAGTGTAACCCTGTGACGACCGCTGCGTAGCCAAGTCGTCAGCCTAGGAAGCGTCCGCGTGACCAGTGAGGACAACTCGAGCCCGTCCTCCAAGCACGAGCCCCATGCCCGACGTACTGCACAAGTAGCGCAACACCCTCTTAGCGGCATCCATGTGCTCCTTCCTGTGTATCCGAGGAGCAACATAGCGTGCCAAGTTGCTAAGAGGGTATGCAAGGTCATGTCGAGTGCAGGTCATCAGGTACATGAGGCAGCCCACAAGCTCTGGATACGGGCCACTCGGCTCTACGGACTCATCCGAAGGCAGAGCTGAGAGCGAGTGGCGAGTAGGCAGAGGAGTGGACTGTGGCGAGGAGTACGTGAAGCTGAAGCGCTGAAGGACCTGCTGCACCATGTGTGACTGAGTCTAAATAATGGTGCGCTGTGCTCCGTCCCAGGTGATCCGCAAGCCAAGATAGTTGCGCAGCTCACCCAGGACCGTGCATGTGTGTCTCTTCTGCAGCTCAGACTTCACGTGGGCGAGTCTGTCAGTGTCAGAAGTAGCAAAGACCAAGTCGTCGACGTACACGAGGATGTATAACGGCGACAGCGAGGTGTCGGTATGTAGAAAAAGCGATGGGTCAGCAGTAGAAGGAGCAAAGCCAAGAGTTGCAAGGGTCATCCTTAGTGTGTTGTGCCACTCACGGAGCGCCTGGCGAAGACCGTAGACTGGCCGCCGGAGGCTCCACTGGGTACCAGGAGGAAACAACCCAGTGAAGCCAGGTGGGCGGCGCAGCCAGATCTCCTCGTGCAGGCTGCCCTGTAGGAAAGCAGTGCTGAAGTCAAGAGAGTGCAGCTCCTAGTCACGTTGAGCAGCTACGTGTAGCAGAACCCGAAAACTGGTCATCTTCGGGGTGGGGGAGAAGGTCTAGAGGAAGTCAATTCCTTGTCGCTGACTAAAGCCTCGTGCAACGTAACGCGCCTTGAAGACAGGTGGAGAACCCGGCGACCGCTTCACCCTGAAAATCAACATGCCACTGACGATGTTCGCCCCAGGTGGGGGAACCTCGTCGACGTAGGTGCCTGTGGACTTCTAGGAAGCCATCTCTGCGTCCATGGCTGACTGCCACTGAGAGGAGTAGGGACCCTCTATCGCCTCTGCGTAAGAGCGCGGGGTTGGGATGTCTGGTGCATCCGGGTCTCCCTTAGGGGGAACTAGCATGGACGCGAGATGAGTTAAAGCAGCGGCAAAGCACTCAGACTCCTCCTGCGTGTTCTCAAAGACGTCCGTGCCAAGAGCACACTCACCCCCGACGGACAGTGGACAGACAGACTCAGACTCCGCAACAAGACTAGCAGTGTAGTCGAGACGACAGGCGACCGCAAATTCAACAAGCTCAGCAACTAGAGCAAACACAGCAGTGGACTCAAACGAAGGGTCAGTGACAATAGTGGCCTGGAGACGCGTGACAGTAGGATTGGCAGCACGAAGGGAGTCAGACTCAGGGTCCGGAACGTCAGCAAGGGAGGACGCAGGAGGAGACGGCAGAGGGATACGCAGTGGAACAGAGGAAGGACGGAATGCCATCTGGTGCGTGCCCGGGACACGAGGAGGACGCGGACGCGCAACACAACGACCAAGGCGAGCAGCGCGAACAGGCGATGAAGGACGAGACTCAGGCTCACGACGCTCCGCAAGACCTCTTGTCGGCCAGTGTAAGGAGAAGGACGAGGTAGGGGGGAGGCTGGCTGTAACTGCGACTGCGACGAGGTGGAAACTCTAAGGGAGGAGTAGGACCGGTAGAAGGCGGGAGACCAAGAACCTGTTGAAGGAGTGGAACAAAGTATGGTCGCGACCGTGCAGCACCACCAGAACCAGCAGAGATAGCACCAGTACCCACAGCTCCAGGGTGTGCAGCTCCAACTCCCGCAGCACCACCAGCTCTAGCACCTCCAGTAGTCTAGCGCCTCTAGCTCCAACGCCAGGAGCACCACCAGCTCCAGCAGCTCTAGTACCTCCAGTATGAGCACCTCCGGAACCAGCGGCTCCAGCACCTCCAGCTGTACCTCCAGCAACTCCAGCTCCAGCAGCACCTCCAGCTCCAGCGGCTCCAGCAGCTCCAGTACCAGCAGCACCTCGGTGGCGCCTCTGGTGACGAGCAAACCACTCGCGCAGCTCTGGTGGAGAGAGAGGCTCCCGCCGAGACAAGGCACCTGCAGGAATTCCAGCTGACGCAACACCTCCAGGCGCAGCACCTCCAGGCTCCGCACCCTCAGACC